AACGGGGCATCAGTTTATTGCCAGGAATTTGCTGTGTCGTGTCGTGCTGCATCCAGTGTAGACAGCATCAATGATTAAAGTGTGTTCTATTTGCTTTTGTCGCATCGCTCGTGTCTGGTATATACACAGTGTTAGGCCTTTTACTGGTGATATTACTTGCTTAGGGATGTTTAAATATAATTGTAACAAAGTTTGTTGCTAAGGGAAGAACAGCTCTATTTTTATTAACTAACATTAACAAAGATTAACAAATACATGTCCTTTTAAAAAAATCAGCATATTGTGATAAAGTTAATTATTTTCCATAATGTAATGATAAAAATTAAACTTTCATATATTTTAGATTCATTGCACACCAACTGAAATATTTCAGGTCTTTTATTGTTTTAATACTGATGATTTTGGCATACAGCTCATGAAAACCCAAAATTCCTATCTCAAAAAATTAGCATATCATGAAAAGGGTCTCTAAACGAGCTATTAACCTAATCATCTGAATCAACTAATTAACTCTAAACACCTGCAAAAGATTCCTGAGGCTTTTAAAAACTCCCAGCCTGTTTCATTACTCAAAACTGCAATCATGGGTAAGACTGCCGACCTGACTGCTGTCCAGAAGGCCATCATTGACACCCTCAAGCAAGAGGGTAAGACAGAAAGAAATTTCTGAACAAATAGGCTGTTCCTAGAGTGCTGTATCAAGGCACCTCAGTGGGAAGTCTGTGGGAAGGAAAAAGTGTGGCAAAAATCACTGCACAACGAGAAGAGGTGACCGGACCCTGAGGAAGATTGTGGAGAAGGAGAGATTCCAGAGCTTGGGGGACCTGTGGAAGCAGTGGACTGAGTCTGGAGTAGAAACATCCAGAGCCACCGTGCACAGGCGTGTGCAGGAAATGGACTACAGGTGCCGCATTCCCCAGGTCAAGCCACTTTTGAACCAGAAACAGCGGCAGAAGCGCCTGACCTGGGCTACAGAGAAGCAGCACTGGACTGTTGCTCAGTTTTGCATGTCATTCGGAAATCAAGGTGCCAGAGTCTGGAGGAAGACTGGGGAGAAGGAAATGCCAAAATGCCTGAAGTCCAGTGTCAAGTACCCACAGTGAGAGATAGTCTGGGGTGCCATGTCAGCTGCTGGTGTTGGTGCACTGTGTTTTATCAAGGACAGGGTCAATGCAGCTAGCTATCAGGAGATTTTGGAGCACTTCATTCTTCCATCTGCTGAAAAGCTTTATGGAGATGAAGATTTCATTTTTCAGCACGACCTGGCACCTGCTCACAGTGCCAAAACCACTGGTAAATGGTTTACTGACCATGGTATTACTGTGCTCAATTGGCCTGCCAGCTCTCCTGACCTGAACCCCATAGAGAATCTGTGGGATATTGTGAAGAGAAAGTTGAGAGACGCAAGACCCAACACTCTGGATGAGCTTAAGGCCGCTATCGAAGCATCCTGGGCCTCCATAACACCTCAGCAGTGCCACAGGCTGATTGCCTCCATGCCACGCCGCATTGAAGCAGTCATTTCTGCAAAAGGATTCCCGACCAAGTATTGACTATTGAGTGCATAACTGAACATAATTATTTGAAGGTTGACTTTTTTTTTGTATTAAAAACACTTATTTTATTGGTCGGATGAAATATGCTAATTTTTTGAGACAGGAATTTGGGGTTTTCATGAGCTGGATGCCAAAATCATCAGTATTAAAACAATAAAAGACCTGAAATATTTCAGTTGGTGTGCAATGAATCTAAAATATATGAAAGTTGAATTTTTATCATTACATTATAGAAAACAAGAACTTTATCACAATATGCTAATTTTTTTAGAAGGACCTGTACACTAACAAATGGATTGCTCATGGTTAGTTCATGTTAGTTAATACATTAACTAATGTTAACTATACAACCTTATTGTAAAGTGTTACCAATGTATTTTTAATTATATGAAAACAATTCATTATATTCATACACTGACTTCCCATCACCTATCACGTTTCCCAGGTGGACTGCATTTGAGGCATGAAATGCTAATGTGGTTCTATTGACGGCTACAAAGCTTAGTCTGATGCGATGCACCTGGTGTTAAATATTGAGGGAGGCTTGGTGAGGAATAGACACATATACTTAAAAAACACACACAGAGGTGTTGTGACAATAAAACACAGGTGCTTTTATTTCTTTTTGTATCTGGGTCAGATCACCATTTATGGAGATGCAACAGTCAGCCATGGATCACTTACAGTCAGAGCATTTAGACAAAGCATCTGAAACCACACTCCTGTGAAAAAGAAGACGCCTTGCAAGAAATTAAAGTTTTATACTTTCTTCTTATTAACTATATTTTATTTATCTAAAATATTTTATAGTTAGCTATTATATAATTTAATATTAAACGCACAAGTCTCCCGAGTACACCTGAAATGTTTAGAGGTGTCTTTCCAAGTTCTGCTGTTGAGACATACATAATAATGGCATTTGATAATGATAATTAACACCGACAAAACCTAATGGTTGGAAAATTACTATATCTCAAATCACATGCCTTATGTCAAGTCACAATGCCTGACTTATTATGGCCACATTATTAATAAATCTACAAAATGTTGTTCATGGCAGATGCTTTGTGGCTGTACCGACATTATTCAGTAATCAGACATCAGTATTTATATTGTGCAGAGGTTGAAGGGTTTATGGGTATAAAGTTTTTATAAATGAGGTAAGATCAGAGATTACATTAAAAATACAAAATATTGATAAAACATTTCAATAACTTCAAATTTCAAATCATAGAAATCACCTGATGTCAGTCACGTCACGATCATGTAAACTTGCATTTAAAATGTAGCACATATCCTATTATATTAAATAGGGATCATACATGAATAACTGAACTGAATAGCATATCACAATATGTCATGTCTAAATAATGTTTTTAGGGCAAGTTCAATATCGAATAAGCTGAAAACATTTTTTTTAATGTAAAGATTTGGGTCTTAACTTTGTCTGAAAGCAGCCATTACAGGGACTGGATTCACTGGAATGCAAAAAGAGAAAACAGAACAGTGATTGACTGAATGTGTTGTTTTCAATGACAAAGTAAAGAGGACCAGAGACTTGTTAATATACACAATACTGACATGCTGAGAATTGCAGATGCAGAGGCTAGTCAAGCTTGAATGTTGTTGTGTCCATTATCTTTATGGACTTTATGGACCCTTTTCACATGGGATGACGCATTTCCACAAGTTTTTCATGTTTTCATTTGATTTGATTTCTACTTTTGTGTTATATTACCTTGGAAGTAAATTATAGTGATGTCTTGCCATGCTGAACAATGCCGTGTTAAACAGAAAGTGATTACTCAAGATCAAAGTGGCACCATTAGACAATCATTTCAAGTTTTTGTCCACTCTCACTAAATATGTTCAAAGAAAGCATCAATTACAATTACATGCACGACAGGCTATTTTTGTAATGCAACCATGCCATGAATAGCTAGCCTACTTTATATGAGTACAAAATAATTAAATTAAATGATATCACTTATACTAATTAAATCATTTGTGTATATTTCAGAATGCACTAAATAAAACAATCAAAACATGCATCAACACTTTAAAACCAGGCTTTAATCAACTTACTTTTACAGCATACATTATTAGTTTATTATTAACAGTTATTTTTTTTTTTTTACATTAAACCTTAACATCTGTTTATATATTACAATGGTAACTTAACATATTCATACTAAAAGCCAACAAACTGTTGAAATATGGCACTATTAGAGGGAACAGCCATTTGGGTGTCCGAAACCATCAACCGTTATTGAGTGCACTTATTCAATATCACTCGCATTCAATCCCACTACTGGAACTGTGTTCTAGAAATAAAATTGATATTGATATGAGGGCAGGCAGGCATAGGTTCAGAGGCATAAGGTACTGTAAGTATTACATACAACAATGCAGCAATAATAAAACAATGCATCGACATTTACTTTTTACTTTTGATACTTAAGCACTTTTAAAAACGATTACTTCTGTACTTTTACTTAAGTAAAAATCTTTACAACTTTCAACTTTACAACTTTTACTTGTACAGAGTTATATTTGACCAGTAGTATCTGTACTTTCACTCAAGTAAGGAAGTTGTGTATTTTGTCCACCTCTGCTCCTGAGGATGTGTCATCTAATCTGCAGATGTGCAAATGATAAGACTGCAAACTTACCTAAAGACAAACCAAAAAGAGGTTTGTTGGCTGATTTATTAATAGCCTTAATGAATCAGTGAAAAAAAACATTAGATTCAGATGAATAGACAAAATTACACATTATGGCAAAAATAGATAACATTTCTCACAAAACCACCTACATTTGGCCCTTCAAAGTCATATTCATGATTATGAAGTTCAAAATGAAGGTTTCATAGGATGAAGGTTTACATTTTCATAAAAAAACCTTCAAAGTGTCAACATGTATATACTACATTAAAAGAAGACTTTTATGCTCACTGAAAAAGACTGCATTTATTTGATTAAACATAGTTAACACATTCATATTATGAAATATTATAACATTTTAAAATAACTTCCATTTTAATATATTTTAAAATGTAATTTCCTGTGATGACAATCACTCCTGTCATTACTCCTGTCTTCAGTGTCACATGAATCTTCAGAAATCATTTATCATCGAAAACGGCTGTGCTGCTTCATATCTTTTTGGAAACCGTGATTTGTCAGTGTTATTTGATGAATAGAAAGTTCAGAAGAATAGCATTTTTCATAACAATGTAAAAGTCTTTGCTGTCACTTTTGATCAATTGAATGCCTCCTTGCTGAATAAAAGAGATACGAATCTTACTGACCCCAACATTTTGATGTTGTTTCATTTTTTTATTCTCTATCTGGGATTAAAAAAAGAGACCTGAATAAATCAGTTCCCTATTCTGTGTTTTAAAATAGAGTCACTGTCTCAAGGACTTTGACTTTGTTTCCCTTGACCAACTTGTTTTTAACTTACAAAGTTAACTCTATGAAGCCTGACCTCTCTTTCTCACCCTCACATTCTGTGATAATGGCAGATGGGGTGACGGTGGCCATGCAGGTGGAGGTGTTAGTCTCAATACTGGCTCCGGTCTCTGCACTGGTCATGGTCCCAGTGCTGATGGTATCCATGCTGTCATTGTACCTAAAGCCACAACAGTTTCCCCGGAACAAAGGCAGGAAATGTAGCATCTCCTCGTGGAGCTCTTTGCAGCGCAGGCCGAACACCACAGGGCTCAGTGACTGTGCAAAACTGAAGACGACAAAAATGGCCAGCGCCACAGGGAGCGTCTCCTGATGCCGGGAGATGATGATGATGGAGGGCAGGAGATGCAGGCTTATCTGCAGGCTGTGGATGAGAATGGTGCGGCGGCCTTTACTGTTGGATCGCGTGAAATGGCCAGCACGCCTACCTTCCAGGTAAATCGCCACATAGCTTACAATGATGAGCAGCACCAGCAATAACAGCAACGCTAAAGCGCTGGCAATGCAAGCTGTGCCTTCCAAAGCTGTAGAGCACTCAGTATCCAGCCCAATTACGTGGTCCCACGGAGAGTACGCACAAGCTAGGACGGTGAAGACTACGGGGTTGAGCAGGGCGAGAACGCAAGCCACCAGCATGACCCAGCGGTGGAAGCGCTGGACCAGAAAGGGGTAACGGAGTGGCATGCAAATAGACAGACAGGAGCTGACGGACATCAGCGTGAGGGTGATCATCAAACCTCGTGCCATCACCACCTGCAGGTCGAAGAGGATCCAACAAGTGATTCGGGAAACAGGCCAACGCAGGCTGCGGAGACCGTGCACGGCTGCGCCCATGATGTTGAAGCCGGACACACAGACGCAGTGCTGACACAACAGGACGTAACGAGGGTTTTGACGCAGCTCCTGGTTGTGCCGCACCGTTGCTATAATGAGGGAGGCGAAGAGACCAGTGACAGTGAAAGCTCCAAAGTGGACAGATGCTTTCACAGTCTCCAAAAGCCTATTGTTTTCTGCTAGACCGGGGCTAGTGAGCCCTCGGGAAAGAAGAAAAGACAAAAAACTCTGTCAAATGGAGAATGAGAATGTGAAGTCATATAAAAAACATTTAATATAAAATACAACAGGCTTTTCTGGTGGGTCTAGAGGAGCAGATGATCATGTTGTATTGAAGAAAACACTACAGAAATCGGACAAATACACATTTACGGACTACATATTGTGGTGTGAAAAAACAAGAAATCCACTCACCTGTTTGATTGCTGGTGTTGGCCATTTTTGGTCTTTCACTTGTTCAAAATTCACATCCAAGTAAATCACATTCAATCTCAGAATCACCACCTGCCTCGCTTAATCAGCTAGTTTGGATCAAAAAAGAACAATTTTGCTTTTCAGTGGCCTTTCCTGTGGTCTTTGTCAAGCTTGTTTTACAGATACAAATTGCTTGAGTGATTCTCACCTGCAGCCAGCGGTCTAGTCACAGCATCTCAGGTTTCTAACATCCCTCCCATGCATGTTTTTTTTTCCCTGTGTTTGACACAATGCCATGCAACAGTAATCTACTGAGCGCACAAGAGGTGGGTTTTAACCACATGCTCATAAATAACTTGTCTCATTACCTCTAGCATACGTTATTTAAAACGATGAACCAGAGCTGACATGATAATTTGGCACTTTTCCTGTGACTTCTTCAATGTTAGTGGTGTTGACAGGTTTAATGAATTACCATGGTTGTAATGTTATGGGTAAAAGGAATCCATGCAGCAAGAGCTGTGAAAATAATTGGATTGGATTTTTTTTTTCTTAAGAAGCTGGGCTAAATAGTATTTTTATTCCAGTGTTTTTACTAAATAAATGAATGAAGATTTAGGGTGGAAAAATACCAGAAATATTTTATTATAGAAATGCAATATTTATTTTTAGACTGTTTTTGCAATAACAATTTGTACATTAGGCTCCTCGGCACAAAAATTGGCATCTGAACAGGAAATAGTTGGGAGTTATTAGTTATGTCTGTTAAGAAAACTCACATGCTGGTCAAATCTCTTTGTATTCAAATAAAATAACTCCAAATAATGTAATAATTATGCCAGACAATGAGTGATTATGATTTTGTCTTACAAGTTGTGAAATGTAAAGTAGATTTGCCTCAAAACTGGTCTTTGGCACTTCTAGACTTTTTAGATTTGAGCAAATGTAACAGTCTGCCAGACGTACAAAAACATTAACAAGCCAGCTATTTTCAACAGTGAAACCTCCATGGCGCATAAAACAAGCAAAAATGGTGTTCTGAGAAAGAAAGTCTTTATCAGACTTTGAATAGGGTCAGAAGCCATTTACTCAAAAGGAACAGAAGAAGAACTTGGCTCGTTTTGATCCTCACAGGGCTGATTCTCCTTCTGCTTCCGGCGGCTAATCTGCATCTGCAGCTGCAGCTTGTTAGTGAAGAAAATTGTCCTCCAGCCAACCTCCTTAGCTAAAGCTTCCACTGTTGGAGTCACAGTGTCACAATGCTTCCTTACTGTCTGCTCCCAGAACTCCTCGGAGTTACAAAGCTGAAGGGGGAAAAAAATCAGAAAGCACATACACTACAATGTAACCATTTAACCAGAGCTGGGTAGATTACATACAAATTGTAATCGGTTACTGATTACAAATTACATGACAAAAACGGTATAACGTAATCCATTACATATTTAACCCTAACCCTTTTGGATTACTTTTAGATTACTTTTGACCTTACTTGTTTATCACATTGATTTGAGTAGAATAATTTTGCACCATATTGATATTAAAGGTATAGCGGAGGATCTTTCCGAATTTTAGAGAAGACCCGCCCTCTCCAATTTTAAAAAAATGCACATGCGCAACACTCTATTTGCATGACTTGTGCCAGGGCTAGCATCGCTAATCATAGCTTACATTAACTTTTACTAGCAGTGATTTTAAATGGATTTCTCCAAATAGCATGACAAACTTTACCTGTCTAGTAGAATCTTCGCGACTGCGGCATCAGTGGGAAGCCCAACCTGTGCTTTTAGCGCACGCCAGCGTGTGAAATATTCACCCAAAATCACTCTTTGTGAAAGACCAAAATCAAGACCAAAGTCTTGTGTCTATATTCTGCGGCCTTTCTCTTCTTATTATACACTTCGTATACATTTTTTCTCTTTCGACCCTCAGCCATTTTCAAAGGAATGGCTGAAACCACTCATCACACATAATACACCTGAAAGTGCGCATGCGCAGAAAGCGAAAACTACATAGGGACGAGGACGTACGACGGCCTTACGTAAACATATCACCAGAATGATTGACACTTAGGTGGACCAATAGTATAGACTACCCACCAGGAAAAAGAAAATCCTCCGCTATACCTTTAAAATACAAAGAAAAAGAAAATATATTCTTTGTTATCAACAACATGAAGTGCCTCAAATATTATATTATGTCAGGGTTTTCCAGACTATTAACTAAATAAATCATTCTTTTAAAAATAAATAATTAAAAAATAAAACACTACTAAAAAAAAAGATAAAAAGATAATTTAATTTGTTTGCCTGCATGTCATGCGATGAAATGAAATGTAAACGTGAATTTGTTAAAAGACAAAAACCTTCCAAAGACATTAATGCATGGTTAAATAACTCATTGAATCTGAGTGATAATTCAAATAATAATTAATGTGTGAATCAAGAGTTGATTAGATCTGCAATGTTGAGAAAACACTTGTTAAAAGTGAAATGATTTCTGTAAATCCAGTGACCGAAAGCCGTGGGTCTCAGTTTTCAGTGGTAGTCACATGACTATAGTGGCTGGTCTGTGTGGGTAATTCCACAAACCTGGAAGACCTTCTGAACGTATACAAGCAGTAGGCGGTTTTAGAACGGAACATTTAAAAGATTAAAAAATAGTAGGGAGAATCAATGAATTATGAATGTTTGACTGCCATTGTTAGAATAACAAGTAATCAATAAAAAAGTAACTGTAGTCTGAATACAAGTATTTTAAAACGTATATAATCTAATTACAAGTACTTATTTTTTGGAATCTGATTACGTAATCCAGATTACATGTAATCAGTTACTTGCCAGCACTGCATTTAACATACATACAAACAGCAATTTAAAATGTATAATTAATTTAAGATATTCTACAAACATTCTATGTGAAATATTTTGTTTAAAAAGTGTGCTTGAGCGATTTTATTTCAAATGAAAGCCACTTGGTTTGGTTCTATGACCCTTTGAAACGCAATGGGATTTCAATAGGCCTTACCTCTTTAAACTTACGGCAGGTGCGTGAAAGACCTGAAATGTCTTCAAGGTCTAGATGTGCCATGATGGTGAAAAGCAAAGCATTGGGGAGACGGACAATGTAATCATAGTGGCCTTGGCATAAGTTTTTGGAGTACTGCAAGATGCGAGGACCAAATACCATGGCAACGTGATCTGGATGAGATAGACCAGGTCGTTCATTGAATGAGAAAGAGGCTACATTAAAAGACTTTACACACTTTATTTGAAATGTAAAAAAAAAGTGTATGTCTGGAATAGTAAGCAAGCACAAAGAAAGTTGCTGAATAACTTACTTTGCAGACGGCTGTCTTCTAAGAAGTCTTCATGTGATTCTCTTAGTTGTCCTGGTGGTGTGCTCCTGCAGTCTGATCTCAAAGAAATCTTCCACCAGCTCCAAACAACCTGTAGTGAAGGATGTTCATAATTATCATAAATAATAGTCTACAGTAAAACTGAGATAAAAACCTTTCTTTTCAGATGGATAGTGGCTTTTAATCAGGCAAACAGTTCTTCAGAGCTACTTTAATGATCATCTCCAGAGTGATATGTTGTAGGATCTTGAGTAGTAACCAATAGTTTCTTGATCTAAATAGGCTATATTTTCTTTTACACTTCAGTGTGATCATTACAGCTAGTTTAGCTTGTTAACTGTGAGGTAGCAGGACACTTGGCTCGCTTTTTTATTATCACATATTTTAGTAATCACCATAAATTAGGTAGGCCTATCATTTAAAATATTTAAAAAATTGGGCATGGTGCTATCATGATGGAAACTACTTTAAAACCTAAAGTATATATCAACTTGAAATTTTGAACACAACTTGGTTAGACATGTGGCTTTGATTTTCTAGTAATATTAGAGTCCAAATTATTTAGTAAAATATGTATTTTATTTTGTATAAAATAACAAATGGTCACTTAAGTACATTTGACCTGATGAAGACACAAATGTGTAAATTTCATTTCTTAACCAATTTGTTTCCAGCGGTAACATTTGTGTAAAATTTGGCATTGCGTTTGGAGGATCTTCTAATCTAGATTGGAGAAGAGAAGAGATAAACAAACAAATAGCAAACTTTTGGCCATAACCTGCCGCAAGAGTATCGCATTTGTGTTAACAATAATACAAAAAAAAAAAAAAACCTCGCACAAACCTCAGTAGGTGTAATTGCAAAGTGGAAATAGTCCTTCATAGGTGCAGGACCTTGTCCACTGAGCTCAAACAGAATTTCTCCCAGCAAGCTCGCCATTACCAGATATGATATCGTTGACGCGTTACCAGGACAACAGAAACTCAGATGCTCACAGTCTGCGTCATCATCTCCAGAGGCTGCGTTTGAAACCGGCGCATACTCAGAGTTCTTAATTTCAACAAGTAGCCTAACGTTACTTACTTAACGAGCGCTAAAAAAGTAGGTACTTTATAGCCTGATCTCGTTAAGTATGAATGCGACCGGACATCTGCCATATTGACATTATCATGTGACCTACGTTAACACAAACACAACAACTTAAAATATATGAGCGTCAGGTTTAATTAATTTCTGTAAATATCTTGATATTGATGAAACTTGCTTATTTTGTGGTCTTGTTGAAGAAACAGCCCCTTTATTTTGTGATTGTAGTATAACCAATACATTTAGGGTCGATTTATATTTTTAACCCTACTGTGACCCACAGTTTTATCCTTAAATATATATACATTTTATTACAAAAATCCCAAATCGTCATCTCATGAATATGTTGTTAATTTCTTCATTTTATATACAAAATTTTCACCCACAAGCAAAAAGCCCTTTTGGGCCTTCTATGTTTGGGCCCCCAAGGGCTGTCCTTTATATTTTCCTATTTTTCTTGTTGAATGTTTCAACATTGAATAAAGTTAACAATCTAAAGACAAATTTTCCCACTATAAAGAATCTTTTGTGAAATGGAAAGGTTGAGTTCTTTATGGAACCATCAATGCCACTAAATAGCCTTTATTTTAAAGAGCGTCTAATACAGTATGTGTACTAGGGTGGGAGATAAAAACTTGAATACAAAAAAAAAAAAGGATTAATTTCCTCAAATTATTCATACGTGATCACATTCAATAATTGAGAACTAAAAACTCTAGCTTTGCTCAATGAAGTGTAAAAAAAAAGCACAAACAGGCGCATGTAACACAGTAGTTAAAAATCATTTAATATTTTATACATATATTTATATATGTACACATTAACTTGTATTCCTTTAACGGTAACTTTTGATGTGGTCAAAAATCCATCGACGGAGAACACCGCAGGTCAGACCTGCCAATTTCCCAAGGTGCTCCCCGAGGGGAGATCATAGAAAGGCGTTCTCTACCACTTACATCTACTCGGCCCGTTTGTGCTGTAGACACCTGCTTTATGTTGTGCTGAGCTCCTCTGCCTTTACAATAGGTGTCAGGTTTTAATCCAAACCATGTTTTCTTACCTCCTTGAGGCGATTAGCGGCGTCTATTCCTCACAATGTGTTTTCGCCACGACTGAACGAAACATTTCTGCTAGAGCAGGTGCTAAGGACAAACTGAAGTTGTTTGTACAGCCAATCACAGCATCCCTAGACACCATTGTGTTCTGCTGTTTCCATCAGTTTCTCTTTGTGAATAACATGTTTTTAAAAGGATTACAAATGCTGATATGCACAAGGAGCTTACTTTCTAGGCATAAAACATTACTTATTGAGCTGAAGGCATAAATGAGGTGGGACAACCGTGGATTTTTGTCCAGAACACACCGGTGGGTGGGGAAGACCATCACCTGCGTATCCACAGCTCTTTCTCTAGAAATGTCACAGACTCAGTGCAGTAAATACAAAACCTGAATACTTTCAGATTCTTGAAGACAATGTTTTAGAGCATTGGTGATGCGGAATGTGTGCATGATGCAGCTGAAATGTGGTGGAAAGCGCTTTAGAGAAAGGGGTTTGTGGAGGAACCTCCTGTTGGGTACGGTCCCGCCGGGCCTCCACCCTGAAGAGAAAACAAACGTAAGCATGAGAGTGGATAAAGAAACATTGTTCTAAAGGTTTGATTCATAATTTCTGCCATCCAGCAACAACTTTGCAGATTTAGGAGCACATTATATACATCAAGTTAATTCTACTTCAAATGATCATGATAATTGTGGATGAGAAGACTTGAGAACAGACGAATCATGTTTAATGCAGCCTAATATTAATTACAATAGATGTAAAAATCATTAAGAGTCAGACTGCCATTAAGACATTAAAGGTGCATTCAGTAGTTTGGTGCTAAATGTCTTTTTGTGAAGTGTCATCTGAATGGTGTCAACTAAAAACCCTGAGTGAGAACCAAGTTGCTTCTTTTTTTGTAAGGAATTAATGATGGTCACATAAAAATCAGAGACAATCGTGATGATCCACATCAATAAATGGCAGTACAGCATCTAACATTTAATTTTATAACAAAATATGTAAATTAATAACCTTTATTTTTTTCTGAGGGGGAGTGGGATCAGTGACATGCCTAAATATGCCTTAATACACACCCAAACAAACCCAATTAAGGTAGAAAACACTTGATTCTGAATCAATTACACCAAATAAACTAGATGTAAATCGTTCTAAGTAAACAATGGGTCTCATTCACTAACCGTGCATATGCATGGGTTTGTGATTGAAATGTAGGAACAACTGAAAAAACTCATACACAAATCACATACCCTGGTCTTACAAACGTGTTAAGATGGAATTTTATACATATTTCATCAAATGTATTTCATCATTACAGTAAAAGAGCAAGAAAAGGTGCTTGAGCTTTTTCCCCTGCATAAAGATGCAGATTCGCATATGTACAGCTGGTTAATCAGAGGTCTTAATCTGGGTCTGTATTAAAGGTGTTTTTTGTTTTTGTTTTAACTTGTTTTGAGGATGGCACACTTGGCGTTACTTGAGGATTTTACTAAATGAATGAGTAAATACGAAATAAAATGCGCTGATTTTTCAACATGTGACAATTTCCACTGAAACGGGAAGACAGGGCGGGACATATCGAACAGCTCCTCCCCTTTTAAAAAATATCCAATAGCATTTCGTTCATATCACAGCTCAGCCAGAGCCGTTGAACTCCGCGTTGAACTCCGCGGTTTGACAGCTTATGGCAGCATATGACAGCCAGTCTAATAGATTCACCTTTTAAATTTTAAGGGGAACTTGGCAACTATTTCAACTAAAAGGGATACTCCACCAGTTTTTCTTATTAAACTATGTTATTCCATTAACTAAGACGAGTTGATACATACCTCTCTCGTCTCAGTGCGTGCACTATATCGCTCTGTATTGCCGCAAAACTATGTTAGCACTTAGCTTAGCCCATGCATTAAATATGGGCCAAGCAGAGAAGCGACCAAACACTTCCACGTTTTCCCTATGTAAACACAGTTACTCGAGTAGTGTAACTTGACCTGGGCTGGTGACACAAAATAAACCGTTGCGCTTTTCTAAGCGTTTAAAATTGATGACTATATTGTATGGCGGAATACCATAACAAGTGCTTTTGAGCACTTCGACTTGGCGCAATAATATCTTCACTCGTGAAAAGTCCCGGCTCCCGCTTCCTCTCCCCCTCCCTCTGACATTTCCGTCAATACAACCAACGTGACTTTTACTACCTGTGCTGTGCTATTAGCAAACTGCAGATCATTTGCAATGGCGGACTTTGTAGATGATTATGACTTCTTTGTAGAAGACCCAGAGCCATATCTGTTTGAACCCGAGTACACGGAGGAGGAATTAGCTCTTATGGACCGTGAGAGGCAAGAAAGATATGATCCAGAACAGACCGGAGCTGGCGAAAGACCACGGGCAAACAGCAATTGGTGGTGCAAGTGTGACTGTTGCGAACAGATGCCGACCGAAATTGAGAGCCTGTGCTGTTTAGAATGCTAACTAAGCTAACTAGCTTCCAACAACCTGTTACTTCGTCAACTCCGCTCGAACTACTACTACCGGCGCATGTCACGTTGGTTGTATTGACGGAAATGTCAGAGGGAGGGGGAGAGGAAGCGGGAGCCGGGACTTTTCACGAGTGAAGATATTATTGCGCCAAGTCGAAGTGCTCAAAAGCACTTGTTATGGTATTCCGCCATACAATATAGTCATCAATTTTAAACGCTTACAAAAAAAGCGCAACGGTTTATTTTGTGTCACCAGCCCAGGTCAAGTTACACTACTCGAGTAACTGTGTTTACATAGGGAAAACGTGGAAGTGTTTGGTCGCTTCTCTGCTTGGCCCATATTTAATGCATGGGCTAAGCTAAGTGCTAACATAGTTTTGCGGCAATACAGAGCGATATAGTGCACGCACTGAGACGAGAGAGGTATGTATCAACTCGTCTTAGTTAATGGAATAACATAGTTTAATAAGAAAAACTGGTGGAGTATCCCTTTAATAAAACCGTTTAGAAATCATTTGAATGGTTCAATAACCTGTTCTGGAGAGAATGGTGACTTTCCCCGCTCCCCCCAGCGTTCCCAGGCGGAAAACCAACCTTGCAACATCGGGACTAACGTACCGGTAAGTTGGAAATAGGAAGTCTCGTGAGAAGCGAGAACGAGCGAGAAACACAAACTGCATTATGGCAATTCGACATAATTCTATGATACTGTGTATGATGTAGGTCACCGTGATTTTGCCAAGCATATTTTGTTTATCCTGGATCAACATTCCTGTCCCAAAATGTAGTCCTTACGCAATCCCTACCCCTAAACCTACCCCTACCCATAACTTTTCCCTAAAATCAGAGGGTGATGATAGGTGAATAACACTGATGTTTAAGTACTTCACCCTTGTTCTAAGCCTAAACTTGACATAAACTGTAAAATTGTCCCTCAAATCTGATTGGTTGATTGGAAAGTTGATCCAGGATCAACAAAGATGTTGATCCAGGAACATGTGGTACTTGGTGAAATCACGTTCACCGTATGATGCATTACCCACCTCGGTAGACATAGCTCCACACGATAAAGTTGGCCGGCTCCGATAATAACAAATGCACATAAGCAGCGGTAGAAAGTGGGAGGAAGGTGCTGCAAGTGAGTTTTTTTATGACAGTGTTGTTAAAATATATGCCGCACAGCTGTAGGGGGAGCTCGATGAGAAAACATGCGACAACAAAAGTGAAAATCAGCGAAGAAATGGCTAGAGTTGCCAAGTTCCCCTTTAAAATGAAACGGTTACTAAAGCATAACGGTGAACATAATCATGCTGAGGAGGACGTGTAGTTTGAAAAGTGTGTAATTGATGTTAGTTCGAGTGATACTAACGCAAAACCAAACTTCATTTGCCCCAATGGAAAGCACATTTAAACTGTCTGAATCGTTCCCTATCCCCATATAGTGCATTATGTGCCATTCACCATATAGAAAATAGTAATTGTGTGAACAAGTGACTGATTTCAGCTGCAGCTTCAGCATCTATTTATAATGTAGGTGGCGGGACACTTCAGATTCTAGAGAGCATTTGATTGGACAGAAAATCTAAAGGGCAGGGTGATGTCATAAAAATCGTTGATCCATATTGGCGTAAGAGAGAGTCTGTACATTTTGAACGCTTATATCTTCTAAAAGCAAATTTTGTCATTGTTTTGGAGCACACTAGCTTATAAATAACCATAAGGCTAACATATTCATACTAAAAGCCACAAAAAATAAACAAATTGCCAGAGGGGGCCTTCAAGTCAGATTGAAACCCACTGCTTTTAAAGCAATAAATAAAGAATATCCTTCATACTTAGTATTTACTTCATAGCAACTGGCTTGCTTACCATGAATGGGTTGCTGGAGATCCCAGGTCCTGTGACCTGCTGCCCATAGTTGCCCATAGGTTTGGCCTGTCCGTAGGCTGGAAACCCCCCTGAGGAGGACCATAAAAGATGAAAGGCCATGGAGCAGGTGTGTTACATTAAAGACTGACCTCAATGCTAAAGCACTGAACCTGCTACTCCAACACATGCAACACCAAAACTCACATTAAAAGCAGGAAAAGCAAAAAGAGTTGATGCTTAATACAATACACAAACAGCCTTTCTCATGAGTATGCATAAAGGAAGGCATAAGCCACTGGGGGTTTGGGCCACCACGCACTCACGAAAACACAAATATAGTCTCACATACCATTGGGCTGTTGGTGGTAGGCTGCAGGTGGGGGAAAGGGACCTTGGCCAGGGAATTGCTGCTGGAAAGTCCCACTAAAACTGGTTGGCAGGCAGAAACTGGTTGCGTTCCCAAAGCCTGCTGGCATGCTCATGGAGCCAGTGCCAAATGAGGCTAAAGTAAATAAAAGGAGACCAGAGGAGGAGTAGCATGTTTCATCTGCTCATTCCTTGAATGGACACACACATAACGAGCATGCTGATCTCGACCAAAGCGAGGTTTTACCTGAGGCGGCTGCTCTCCCATTGGTTTGGAATGGATTTGTAGACATGGGCTCCTGAACCATTCCAGCAGCCACGAATGGGTTTGTGGAGGGAGCGGCTGCACGATCAAAAGTCTCGAGTCAGTTTAAAAGACTTACATGTTAAAAACTTACTTAAACGAATCTTAAAAGTTCCACCTGCAAAACCCTGTTGCATGTTGGGTATTCCTGGCTGAGCTGGAGGTGCAGCAGCTCCTGGGACACCTCCATACACACTTTGGTAGTGCATTAACACACAAAAACATGTACATGAACAGCCTAAAAGCAAGGTGGACTGTGCAGAGAATATACGGTAAGTAATGCAGTGGTCTCTCACCCTTGTGCGCTCCCACTGGTAACGGTGGAACTGAGGACACTGTCAAGCTCAGCTAGGGCCGCGTAACGGTCCCCTCTCGATAAACTGCTCAGAGGCGGGGCAGGGGCCACATTGGGTTGTGGAGGAATGGACATGCCTCCTCCAGAATCGCATAAGGGTTAGAGCTTAAATTTATACTCAAGACTTATTGAATTAATTCAATTCAATTTATAAAGCACAATTAAAAACAACTGCTGTTGACCAATGTGCTGTACGAGAGGACACAAGTAACAAACATAACCATGAAATGCATTCAGGCAGGCACAAAGTCACAAGTGGACAAACAGAGCATAAAAGAGTAAAGTATCAAATCACAGAATGTAAGCCTGGTGAAATAGGAACGATTTATCTTCGATTTAAACGGGTCATGTTGGGGCAGTTCTGATTTGAATTGGGAGGTTGTTCCAAAGTTTTGGAGGGGCTACGGTTTTTGGAAGAATTAAGGCTCTGTTTACACCTGGTATTAAGATGTGTTTTGGTCAGATCACAAGTAGATGAGGGAGACATACCAGTTTACCCCTGGTGTTTTAATCCATCTCTTTTGTCCACTTTCAACAACTTCTGTCCTGATTTCTTCGAGGGGAGGGTCTATGGGCAGGTAAATGTATTCAGATCTTTCGATCTAATAGATAAAATAAGCTTGCACAATTAACATATGAACTCTGACAGACGCAAACCCAAGCCGAACGCTGTGAGTGTGTGTTAGAAATCAGGAATGGTGAGAGAACATTGTGCTTGGTATGTTTTTCGACTTCAAACTAAACTCTCCATCGGACCAAGTTTAAATCCCGCCTGGCTGGTGCGCTTCCCATAATGTTTACACATTAGGTCAGTCGCCAGAGAGTATGCGGTCTTTCGTGGCTGAACGCATTCGACCACATGAGCGTTTACACTACGAAAGCAATTCCGTCAAATGCGTTTGACTACTTCTGAAAATGGTTGAAAGTGGACAAGCTCAAAACATTTTAGACCCTGTTTAAACCTGTATTTAGCATCGTCCACTTATGATCCGATCGACCAAAACGCATCTTTATACCAGGTGTATACAGGACCTAAAAGCCTCATTGTCAGACCTAAGAGCTTGCGCTGGGTGATGATCTATCAACAGTTCAGAGAGGCATGAGGGTGCTAAACCGTTTAGAGACTTTAAAACCAATAAAATCAATTCTATAACGCACAGGTAGCCAATGCAAAGACTGTACAGGGTAATATAATCACACATATTCTCACGTATTAACAATGCATAAGGGTCAACAACAAAAAAGTGTGTCCATAATAACAAAGGAGAGATATTTTAAAAATCTAGTTTAGACTAGCATTTTCTTAGATATGTACTCTTTGTATTCAGGTTGGTTTTGAATGGATTTTATACCATTTTCACTCAAACTTCATGTGGTCTATCAATCGAGTAAAAAGTAATACATATTTTCCTTACACATGGAATACAATGTTGTTATTTTTAACTAAAACTTAACTGATCAAAAATTTTCTTTTGGTAACTCAAAGTCAAACATAAATATTAGATCAAAAACTTAAAATACAAACGAAAATTACAAGTTAAATACATAAGTTTAAGTACTAAAATTACTAAAACTATAAATGAAATAAAAATAAATTAAAGCTTTATTGAAATACTGAAAATCAAAAACTAATACAAATAACAAAAGCACAACAAAATTACGAACACTAACTAAAAATATATATTAAAAAACTATTTAAAATATGAATAAATACTATAATAGTATATATAAAATAAATAATAATAAAATAACACTGGTGTACACAATTTATATATATTTTTAAAGTAATGATTATGTGGGTCGCACCGCATTTTATAACGTGAACTAATCTTGATTTGTCAGTTATGACTCATGAAGGTATGTAGGGCTTCTCTCGAGGATATAATTATCTGTTTCCTGTTATTATTATGATTTGTGTTTTACTCCTGCATGTTGGTTGCACCACATGACCTTAAAATATTTTTCTCCAAAGAAATAATAAATTTAAGTTGTCAAACTCCTAGGTTTTCTTTTCAATATTTTTTTCTTTTCTTTTTAAATTTAAATAAATTAAAAGATGAGGACAAAACAATAAGTGTAATTTCTTTTACCCATTGTCTTTCCTTAAATGATTGGTACAGTACTGTTAAAGTAAGCCAGCAGCAACAGAGGTGATATTAAGCCAATAACATTCTGTAACAACCATGACAGGAAATAGAATTACACGTGAACATAATACACAATAGATGGGGCAGGGTGTGGTACCTGTGTGGGGTTGTTGAAGGGAAGGCTTTGAGGGGGGTGATGTGCCAAAATGTGACGGTACACTGGCGTTTCCAAAGGAATCAAAATTGGCAAACTCTGTGGTGGAATTATTTTGTGCTACAGATGGCACAGGGTGAACAAAATAAATTAATGAACAGGACTCATGAGGAAAATAAAAGTGACAGTCTGAAATCATGGTTCTGACATAAATGTAGGCAATCAAAAGCAAACAGAGCTGACTGACTTCATTCACAAATGGTTGTAGAGTAGGGTAGTTGAAATGACATTTAAAGGGATTGTTCATCCACAAATTAAAATTATGTCCTCATTTTCTGACATCATCTGTTTTTATTCACATAAGGAAAGTCAGTGGGGTCCAAAACAACATCGGATCCCACAAACTTTCATTGCATGAAAAATAAATAAATTCTATGTATCTTTTGTGTTCCACAGAAGAAAGAAAGTCAGACAGGTTTGAAACAAATTGAAAGTGAGAAAACAAATTTTCACAGAATTTTCATTTTTGGGTGTACTATCCCTTTAAATAAATGACAAAAAGCTATGTGACATAAGATGATTAGTAGTGACAAAACAATTAAAGGAACTTTCGACTGGCATCTAAATTACTTATGCAAATTAGAGCTGTCAATCTATTAAAAATCTTAATGGTTACCTGAGGGCCTGTTAAAATGTGCAAAATTAGCAAAGTTTGAGGAGCTGGCAGTTTGAGCTTGAGGGGCAGCAAAAATATCTCCACCCAAGTCAGAGAGGAGGTCAAACTTCTTCTCCTGGCCTGCAGACTGGGCCTGGACACGACTGGTTACTGGGGACTGAGACAGAAACGTGGGGAAGGCATGAAGAGAAAAGCAGGGCACAACCTGATTCCACGGAGAAGAAATAACTGTTCTGTGGTTCCGAATGAAAGCACAAATGTGTAGGTGGTTGTGTGTAGTTACCTGGTTAGACGGAGTCTTGGTAAGATGCAGGGTTTTGAGGGGCTGGGGAAGAACCTCTGGGGTGCTACTGGTACTGCTAGCAGATGAACCAGATATTGAGGCCTGCACAGAAGCTATCACCCTGGCTTGTTCTGGGGGAACATACCTGCAAATGACGGTGGCACAATAATAAAGCTGTCAATTTGTAGGAAGCCGGAAGGCTAACTTGCCATGGGCTCCCTTGGGACTTTATAATGAGTTTTTAGAATAGAGGTTTTTGATTTATGAGTAAAACAAGTCTGTGCATGGTTAACATGACTTGAAGGGCTTTGTTCTACAACATAATTTACACAGTCATACATTACCCATCAAGATGTTTTGATGTTTTTGAAATGAGTCTCTTATGTTGCACTTATTTGAGGACTACTCTTAAACTGAAATCCACCGTTCTAAAATCCCATTAGAAACACCAGAGGGAACTCATGAACTGAAAATGCTGACAAGTCTTTTTCTTTTTTTTATGGAATATTGCAATATTTATTATGAATGATTTATCTCTGCACATCATTAATATTTTTTTTAATCCATGTACACTCATTTAATCAAAATAACAGAATAACCCTCCCTCTTCTCTGATGATGTGTTTACAGACCTGTCACTCACATGACATCACAGCAATAGCAAACCACAATCATTCAATCAATTCCTGATGGACAAAATCAGGTTCTGTTCTACATTTTTTCTTGTTAAAAAAGCCGTTTCACTTGGATATACTTCACAATAGGGAAGAAAAGACTAATCACAACTTCCGCTTCATGCCAAATTTAGAGGTTCTCAGACTGGGGGGATTGGAGGAACTGTTGGTAAGCCTCACTGAGGCTGCATTTACTTGATAAAAAATACAGAAAAAAATGTATATTGTGAAATATTATTACAATTTAAAATTGTCTATTTGAATATATTTTAAAATGTAGTTTATTCCTGTGATGTCAAAGCTGTATTTTCAGATTTTCAGCATCATTACTCCAGTCTTCAGTGTCACATGATCCTTCAGAAATCATTCTGAAATGCGGATTTGGCCTTATTATTATTATCAATCAATGCTGAAAACAGATTTTTGTGGAAACCATCATATATATATATTTTTTCAGGATTCTTTGGATGAATAATGAAGCATTTATTTGAAATAGAAATCTTTTGTAACATTATAAAATGTCTTTACTGTCACTTTTGATCAATTTAATGCATCCTTAAAAGTATTCATTTCTTTCAAACCACCAAACAAAGAAAGTACTGACCCCAAGCTTTTGACTGGTAGTGTACATGCTGTGAGTAACAATTATTTTATTTACAGTATGTAAATTCATAAGTAACTGCGTTGGGAGTCATTTATTTTTTCTAAGGCATTTTTGGTCTGTGGGCTGGCAGATAGTGTGAAGGTTCAATGCGGATTTAGATTTCTTTTTGCCTTTACTGAGACGAGTCAGTATAGATTTTGTATTTTAGTGTAATTTCCTGATTCCACAGATGAGATTTCCATCAGAATTTATTGAAGAACCTCAGTATGAAAATGAACAGCTTTATTGCACTACAATAGCAATAATGCCACCTGAAATGCATGATCTCAAAAGCATTTGGCACATAAGACATGTGCACAAAGCAAAAAACAACATGCTACAGAGAAACACATGTCACAAAAGGAGGATGTATCTGACCAGAGACTCCTTACCATCTTTTCTTCTCATATTTCTCCTGAAGAAACTCTTTGACTTTCTGAGGTTCACGGAAATCTGGGATCACAGAGCTCTTGTCATCATACAACCCCAGCCAGATGTGTTTGCAGACCTGAGCACAAAAAAAGAGAGGATACTTAGAGGAGCCTCAGTATGTTCATAGACTGTAATGTGTTAAAGCGTATTGTACCTCATTGCTGTGTTTTTGTAAGAACTCGATTTCCTGTTGGGTGAAAGTTGTCATAGAAATGGACTTCACTCTGTGTGGAGGGTTGATGCCTCGTCTGGGATACAAATCAAATGACAAACATCACGGACTGGTCACAGAGACGAGACTAAACTCTGAGAAGTTGGCGATCTCTAATTCTGCCAGTCGTACATTATTAGTGGTGCTTATATTTGTTATTCTTCTGGACAAAAAGTATTTTCACTATAAGCACATATGATACCTCAATTTATGGAATTTGAAGAAAAATGTTCTATGACTTTTCTAAATGATTATATTTCGATTTTTGCCGGCAGATTAAAAAATAATAATAATTAATTATAATTTATTTTATGAATATTAAAATGTAAAATACATTGTTATACATTTTAATCATTATAATTGACTCAAGGCAGTGTACTAGCAGTGTTCAGACCCCTGCGGCTCTGTTCGGGGCCCCTGTCATACTCAGTCATATTTCGGCAACAGAATGTCATAAAGACACTGACATCGAGGTTGGCTCTTTTGACTTAGGACCTTAAATTGAAGTCCTGTGGAGCCCCAAAGCCCTATGAGGGCCCCCGTCATAGATATATTTCGGCACCATAATGTCATAAGGACACTGACATCAGGGGCGGCACTTTTGACTTAGAACCTTAAATTGAGACCACATGTGGAGTCACACAGCCCTCTGGGGGCCCCCCGAGGCTCTTGTGGTGCCCCTGTCATATTCAGTTATATTGATTCTTGGCACCAGAATGTCATAATGACATTGACATCAGGGGTGGCGCTTTAGACTTAGGACCTTAAATTGAGGTCCTGTGGAGGCCCACAGCCCTCTGGGGGTCCCCGGAGGCCCTTGTGGAGCCCCTGTCATATTTAGTCATATTTCGGAACCATAACGTCATAAGGACATTGACATCAGGGGTGGCTCTTTTGACTTAGTACTGTAAATCTAGGTTCCAGTGTGGAGCCCCAAAGCCCTCTGGTGGTCACTGTTGGCCCCTGTCATAACTCTGCACCAAAATGTCATAGAGACATCATCTTACCAGCCAATGAACTGAGACCCCGTGTGCACTACCTGGGGCCCAAATCTCAGCACCACAACATCATACCATCATTTTCACTAGTGGCATTGTCTGCAAGTTGAATACCACTCATTTGTTTCAGTTTATCTAGTTATGAACATATTTTATGCATAAGCAGCTGTAATGTTTAAACATGGGTGTGTCACACATTGACACAGTAATTTATGAACACACACACAATTTTAGCCATATGGCACAAACGTCACACCGTCTTATTTAAAAACGGATCGTGAAGTTCGGCTGTTCTGGCTCTGAATCTCGTGCTATTTTTGTGAGAGCTGATGTTATGATGATGTTAGAGACAGCTGGGACACATTCTGCAGATGATCTTTCAGATGGGAGGGGTTGTTAGGCGTCTGCCCAATGCCATACAGACTCTTGAGAAAAAAACAAGTTCGTTCACCATCTGTGTGAATATGAGGGGCCTCGTTATAAACTTACAGTATTCCGGAACAGGTGGTGCACACAAACGAGCCCACTGTCATGTTGGCGTAGGTCGGGCCGCGCTGATCGCAATCAAAGCATTTCCTATTAGGAGGCAGGCTGGTCATCTCCCGAAGCATCTTCAAGTGTTTCTCCTCCTGTTTTCGCTTGGCACTCGCCGCCATCACGAAATTATAAAGCTTTCGGGTCTAGGGCAGGTGAAGCTGGAGGTTATAAGTAAGTCTAGTGCATAAACACACCCGGCAGCGCTGGAAAATCGTTCCACATAGGACTGCCAGGAATAGCCATAAACGTCCTGTTCTTCACTGGACTGATGTGGAGCGCTAAAGGCCATACATTTCAATGCTGCCATCTACTGCACCGGAGAGAAACGCCTCTACTGTATGGAACATGGTCAAAAACATGAGTAATATGCATGGTAATATGAGTGTATGAATATTTAATTGTGAACGAGAGCCTGACTGACACCCTGATGTCCACATTCATGTTTCACGGTATTTACATCATGGCACTCGCTTAGGGGTCAGACATGTGTTCCTCAGTGCAAAAGAGGCCAAAGAAAATAAGCAGTTTTTAAAGAAAAGCATGTTCTATACTTTGTGTCAATATTTGTTCTTTAATATTAGAAATACTCATATTTTTTTACTTTAATACTAGACAACTATTTAGTATCTTCAACCTGCAGTATTTAAGACCATTTAGCCTTTTTTAATCACTTCCACAGTTGTGTGTGTGTGTGTGTGTGTGTGTGTGTGTGTGTGTGTGTGTGTGTGTGTGTGTGCGTTCATATACAAAGTACCATTCCGATGAAGGATAAATTGTTAAAAATCGAAAAGACCACCAGAGGGTTAAATAACACACAATGAAACTTCATAGGAACAGAAAAGCCATGTTTTTGTGTCACTATGGTATCCTGACTAAAAACATGGTAAAATGGTGCTTTCTTATGTATTATGGCCCTGAATGATTCCCATATTCATACATCATGGTATCTACAGAATATGGTATCCCTAGGTACTTTAAAGATTACCATGGTATTGCAAAGCTAAAAAAAACCATGACATTACCAAGTTACCATGTCCAAAAAACATGATATTAGCTTGGTACTTTGTAGTTTTTAGATGTATCATATACATATACACAAATACAAAGCACTCACTCACTCACTCACTCACTCACTCACTCTTAGATAAAGCGCTGTGAATTCCGGCTCGCGTACCCCGAAATGATAAAATAAAACAAAATTCTGTATCAAAATTTATAGGCAAGAAAAGTAGTTTGTTTAGGCTGGGTTGAATGAATTACAAACCTGCGCACATATTTTAAAAAGCACATAACTATAGAATTCTGAATGAGCATGTGAACGCCGTCAGCGTTAATCACAGGTTCGCGTTTAAAGTCTGATCATTTCGACGGAGGTGAATCAATCAAAGTTAACTTTAGCTGGAAGTAACATTATTCAAGAACCGCTATAACGCCAAAACAATCTGTTACCTTAAATTATATGTTTATCTCTGTAAAGCTGCTTTGAAACAATTCATTGTTAAAAGCGCTATATAAATGAAGATGACTTGACTGACTGACTGACTGACTGACTGACTGACTGACTGACTGACTGACTGACTGACTGACTGACTGACTGACTGACTGACTGACTGACTGACTGACTGACTGACTGACTGACTGACTGACTGACTGACTGACTGACTGACTGACTGACTGACTGACTGACTGACTGACTGACTGACTGACTGACTGACTCACACTCACTCACTCACTCACTCACTCACTCACTCACTCACTCACTCACTCACTCACTCACTCACTCACTCACTCACTCACTCACTCACTCACTCACTCACTCACTCACTCACTCACTCACTCACTCACTCACTCACTCACTCACTCACTCACTCACTCACTCACTCACTCACTCACTCACTCACTCACTCACTCTCTCTCTCTCTCTCTCTCTCTCTCTCTCTCTCTCTCTCTCTCTCTCTCTCTCTCTCTCTCTCTCTCTCTCTCTCTCTCTCTCTCTCTCTCTCTCTCTCTCTCTCTCTCTCTCTCTCTCTCTCTCTCTCTCTCTCTCTCTCTCTCTCTCTCTCTCTCTCTCTCTCTCTCTCTCTCTCTCTCTCTATTCTTTTGTAAAATTGAGAAGTTTCTTACAAAAGACAAAGAATATGAAGAATGTCCAGGTTGTAGATTACTTTCCTGATCGGAAAGCATTCATTGAATCAGCCGTGATGTTAATGAGGGGAGAAGGTGAAGAACGATTCACAGTACAGGAGATATATAGACTGAAGAAATTTGTTTCTAAAGTGAAATTGGAATTAAAGATTGAAGATGGATTTGAAACTACATAGGTGTCTCTTTCTTAAGTTATTGTGTGTTTCTGTATGTTGTTTAAATTTATGCAATCAAATGAGTGCAATAAAAGTGGGCACCCTTAACTTGAATGGTGCTAGATATTCAAAAAAGAGCACTTTTGTTTGAGTTAATTAGTCAGAAGGGTGTAGATGTAATGTTCATACAGGAAACACACAGTGACTGCTTGAATGAAATTGACTGGAGGAAAGAATGGCAAGGGCAGGTGTACCTCACACATCTGAGCTCAGTCACAGGCGGAGTGGCCATTCTTTTTGCAAAAAGTTTTTTGCCAATTTCATGTCAAATAAAGCAAATGATACCTGGTAGGCTTTTAATCCTGCAAGCAAAATTTGAAAAGTTTAATTTTGTTTTTCTTAATATATATGCTTCCACAAATGGTACTGAAAGAATTGTGTTATTTAATAATGTCAGTGTTTTTTTTACAAAATTGTAATTCTGATGATTATCTTTTTTTGGGGGGGGGGGGGGGGATTTTAATTGTACTGAAAATCATGTTCTTGATATGAATCATTTGGAACCTCACACTGCTTCAAGTCGTGTAATCCGTGAATTGATTGAAACACAGTTTATGTGATGTGTGGAGAGAATTGAACCATAACAATAGGCAGTACACATGGACACACTCCAGAGATAATGCTATTTCTATGGCCAGGCTTGATAGGTTTTATTGTTCTAGATATCATTTTAATATTGTCAAAAAGTGTGTTATTACTCCAGTTGGGTTCTCGGATCACTGTTTGGTTTTGTGTGAAGTGTTTATAGCAAATGTTAAAATAAAGAGTGCTTATTGGAATTTCAATGCATCTTTGTTGGATGATATGAATTTTAGAGATGTGTTCTGTAATTTTTGGGGCATTTTTAAAAGTAGGAAAAATTGTTTTAAGGATTTAAGACAGTGGTGGGATTGTGGGAAAGTTGAAATAAAAGCTTTATGTCAGCAGTACGCTTTCAATGTCTCTCGAGATATTACACACTCAATGAGAAAACTTGAATCTCAGATTATTGAATTGCAAAAGTTGTTTGAAGTTACTGGGGAACAAAAATGTCTTGATGCTCTTAAGTCTAAAAAGTCATTTCTTACAGACCTGCTGGGTATGAAGACACAAGGGGCTCTGGTTAGATCACGCTACCAGATGCTCACACAAATTGATGCCCCATCAAGGTTTTTTTTTTGGCCTAGAACGAAAAAATGGGCAGAGGCGATATATTCACTCTATTCGAACAGAAAATGGGCAGGAATTGAAAGAGCCCGCAAGTATCAGGAAAGGGGCCGTACAATTCTATGCTGAGTTATATAGGAGTGAATATGAAGAGAATGAGGAGCTCTCTGCCAAATTTTATGATGGCTTGCCAAATATTGCACAGGACAATGTAGTAAAACTTGATGGGTCTCTTACAGAGCAGGAGCTTTTAAATGCTTTAAAAGACATGAAGACTGGTAAAGCACCAGGTATTGATGGTCTCTCCGTGGAGTTTTATAAGGCCTTTTGGGGAGTGATGGGCAAGGACCTTTTGGATGTTCTAAATGAAAGTTTGGTTGTGGGTTCACTCCCTCTAAGTTGTAGGAGGGCAGTGGTCACTTTGTTGCCTAAGAAAGGTGACTTACAGGAAATTAAGAATTGGCGACCTGTAAGTTTATTATGTACAGACTTAAAGATTTTTTCAAAGGTTTTGGCCAATAGATTAAAAGATGTGATGGGGCAAGTGGTTCATCCTGATCAGACTTATTGTATACCCGGAAGGTCCATTATGGATAACATAACTTTTATCAGAGATATGCTGGATGTCTCTGGTTATCATGATCTGGACATGGGCTTTATTTCAATAGATCAAGAAAAAGCCTTTGATCGAATAGAGCATTAATACCTCTGGAATACGCTTGATGCTTTTGGCTTTGGGTCCACTTTTAGGGGAATGATTCAAGTACTATATAAAGACATTGAGAGCGTACTAAAGATCAATGGTGGTTTAAGTGCCCCTTTTGAAATTGGGAGAGGTATAAGTCAGGGATGTGCTCTCTCCGGAATGTTATATTCCCTGGCAATTGAACCAATGAGCTGCGTTCTTGTATTGAAGGTTTTAAATTAGGGAATGTTCATAGTGTTCAACATCAAATTTCAGCTTATGCGGATGATGTGATGATTTTAATTAATGGGAAAAAAGATGTTATTAATTTGGAGTCTACTGTTAATGAATTTGGTGTAATTTCTGCTGCAAGAGTGAACTGGGAGAAAAGTGATGCACTGATTAGAGGTAAATGGAAGAATGGCTTACCAGTTTTACCTGGTGGGTTGATGTGGAAGAAAGGGGGTCTTAAGTATTTGGGAGTGCATCTTGGAGAAATATCTGTGCAACAGAAAAATTGGGATGGGATTACAGAAAAAGTGGAAGGCAGACTAAAGAAATGGAGATGGATTCATTCCCAGCTGTCTTTTAGAGGGAGAGTATTAATATTGAACAATTTAATAGCATCAACTATGTGGCATAAGCTCTCTTGTGTTGAACCTCCCATTGGACTATTAGCACGGTTGCAAAGAATATTGGTGGACTTCTTCTGGGACAAGATGCACTGGGTCCCTCAAAGTGTGCTTTTTTGCCATTGGAGGAGGGAGGACAAGGGTTGGTGTCTCTAGCAAGCAGATACGCAACATTACGATTACAGTTCATCCAGAAGTTTCTAACAGGCTCAGTGGATGTGGTATGGAGAGAAGTTGTAAAAAGCATTCTTCACAGAGTGGATGGACTTGGACTAGATACTGCTTTGTTCCTCATGGATATCAAAAAGCTACATTTGAGTGGACTATCTTCATTTTACCTTGGATTGTTCAAAGTTTGGGGATCTTTCATCATTAAAAGACCAGAAAATGCAAACTCTCTGTTCTGGTTGTTGGAGGAGCCTCTAGTCAAGGGGGCCCGTTTGGACATAACAGATCAAGTACCAAATCTTTCTCAGAGACTGTGTGACACACAGACGGTAAAGATGAGTCATGAGTAAAGGATGTTACGGCGGTGGCGGCGTTATTAGGACAAAAATCTATGCGACAAACATCCACAATCATGGACTTATGGAGAAAAAAACTGGCAGCAGAGGAGTTGTTACTTCTTGAAAGATATAAGGAAGGGTTTTTGCTTCCTGATAAGAGAGACCCTTTTCCCAAGCACTGGATTACACCAGATTTAAAGGAGATGTCTGGTATTTTGTTAAATTTGAATGGACTTCAGGATTTACTATTAGGTGAATTGAGTGGAAAAGTGATGTATAAATGTTTTGTTAAAATATTGTACAAGTCAACACTGTGTGAGAAAATGGATAATGTCTGGAGAGAGAAGTTTGATGTAGGGGACGAAGTTAAACCACATTGGAGGGCCTTCTATAAACCACCATTGATGAAAAAATCGGGAGATCTTCAGTGGAGAATCCTGAAGGGGGCTGTTGCTGTGAATGCTTTTGTTTCAATCATTAACCCAAATGTCAATGAAGGTTGTGTTTTTTGTGGTTTCAGAGAAACTATTTATCATTGTTTTCTGGAATGTAATAGGCTGAAACCACTTTTTGATTTACTAGAAAAATTGTTTTGGGGTTTTAAGGAAAGTTTCACACCAAAGGTTTTCATCTATGGGGCAGGATACAACCGCAATCAGAGATTCAAATGGCAGTTGATAAACTTTATAGTTGGCCAAGCAAAAATGGCAATGTATATTTCAAGGAAAAACATGATTCAAAATATGCATTGCCAGGATAGTGTACTGTTGTTTAAAGACCCACTCCGATGAAAATAATGTTTTTCTAGGTGTTAACATGTTCTTGTGGCATTTTTCTTATGTTAGAGGACATATCTTGAGAAAAATAAGCTCAAAGTTGTATTTCTGAGTATTTCTACATTCAAATGGCTGTGAATCAGTAGCAGACGCTAAAATGCCGTTCAAAATAGACTGGAGTTGTGACGTAGTAACTCCACTGGGCGGGGCCACAAGCTTGTTAAAATTAATCGAAAGTGCCCCTCTCAAACAAATATCAATGATAATATTGTTTTCAATAAAACAAAATGCATTTGATTATAATTAACATGACAATGTGACAAATTCACGTTTACTTGTATGTTTCTGTCGGTTTGAGCTGTCGTTGCCATGACTCGTTGCTATGGGTTGCGTCACCTGCGTGTCTTGCATCGGACTCGACTGAAGGGGTCAGTCTCCGTTTTCGAGGCCGAGGGTCAGTAATGTGGACGGCAGGAGCGCATAATCGTTGCAAAAGTTATGCATTTTAAAACGAAAACGCACTGTACGGCTGGATAGCTCCAATATTGCTCTCAATTTTTGTTGCACCGGTAATGACAGGTTGGGGGTGTAAGCTAGCGGGAGAGACAGAGCTCTCAGCAACGGGGAGGGGGAGGGTCATCTCCGTGCCAACGGCTCCGCCCACAACGCAGAGGCGAATTGCTAATGAGCTACTGCCGCTCTGCTGAAGCAAAGTCCCAGAAAACGGCACAGGTTTTGTGAGTTTGGCTAAAAATGGCATAATCATAATTTAAAGACCACTGGGAATGTTTACAAATAGCTCAAAATATGATCGGAGTGGGACTTTAAGGCATTTATTAGATCTAGGATTTGAGTCGAGTTTAAGTATTACAAGGAGATGCAATATTTGGGAACCTTTATATTGCAGTGGTGTTTCAATGAAGTTTGTTGTGCTGTGTTTGAGGGGGATTTAACTTTGAGCGTTTTGCTGTGTTGATTGTGTTTGAGAGGATGCAATGATAGATTTTTGTCACTGACCTAATAAAAGTGTGGTTAAAAATCAAAAAATCTCTCTCTCTCTCTCTCTCTCTCTCTCTCTCTCTCTCTCTCTCTCTCTCTCTCTCTCAATATGTATCTATAGGCAATAAGATATTAACCACATTAAACACCAGCTACACTAGTATCGTATAATACTATAATAATATATCATAAAGCACAGTATACATTTAGAAATAAAAAGAGGTTTACTGTAATTTAATACAGGCTCCCAAACATAAAAGTTACAAGCATTATTTAAAATTATACCCTTTCTTGGCACTTGTTTTACATTATTTTGCCATTTGAACATAATAAAATACTAAAATATCTAAAATAGATCGATGCCATTATACTTTTAACTCTTCTGTCCACATGATGGTTTGATCAATGCTTTAAGATCCAAGATTAAAAATGGTCCGTCTTATTCAATTTTTGATCGTTTTCTCCCACTGGATCCTCCCACAGCTGCAGATTCAGCCTAGATAAAGAAGTCAAGACTGTTTGTTACAATGTTCAAGCAATCAATCGATTTACAATACTTCTAAACTGATATCTAACCTTTCTCCTTCGTGTTGCAGGGAAATAATCTTCAAGTCGTGACTGTCTAGTTAGGCCCATTTTCTCATCCACCTCCCTCTGCTTCCTTCTCTTTAAGAGAGACTCGCGAAACTTCTTCATGCGTCCCCGCACCCTTTCCTCCCTTAAAAGAGTGAATAGGGTCACATACCCAAATCTCAGATACTATTAAACATCAGAACATAGAGACATACTTCAAAGGCTTCTCCTTGCACAGGAACTGCACCAGTCCCTCTTCATCAGGCTCACTCCAGGCCAGAACAGGGTCGTCAATTTGTGGTGTTTCAAAAAACAGCTTCCGGGCATCCTTGTACTGCCAGTTTGGAGGGATAGGGTGTGTCTGTAAGAATTGACAGCCAAAGTCGCCTTAATTTATGGTTTAAAAAAAACGGCAGCCTGAACATTCTGCTTTACATCTATTTTTGTGTTCCACAGATAAATGAAAATCATATTGTAGAAAGCAAATGAGGGGTAATAAGTCATGACAAAACTATCAGAACGCTGCCTTCTAGTGAGATCAGCTTCAAAGTCACCATGAAATCATAATGGACAATTCTTATTTTTTAAGGAAAGGTGCAGTGTATATTATAGATGATTTATCTATGCAGTTTTAAAAAAATCTTTACTCGAAAACATTTATTTCGCAACCCTCTTGCAATTACATCTCTTCATTAATGACATGAGCGCAATAATACTGACGACAATGATCCAATAATTTACAGATGGACAAAATCCCTCTCCTACACTTCTTCTTGTTCAAGAAGCCATTTCACTCAGATATAAATTATAATAGACATAAGAGGAGCGTGTGTACGGCTGACCAAGGCTTAGCCTTCCCCTGGCCACGGACTTGAGACTAGAGTGGAATTTTCTCACTCAAAACACTGACTGCTGCTGCTTCTGATTGCTTTTAGGGGGAAGTGCTGCCCATAATGGCAGGTCTAATTAATTAATTAGTTAGTTACATTTATATAGCGCTTTTCAAGGAACTCAATCTCCTCAACCATTAGGATCATTTTTCTCCATAGTAATAATAATAGCATATTGGTCGAAACAGAATTTGGTGTTTGTACTCTTGAGAAGGGCAAAGGTTTCAATTTACAATGTATTGTGCAGATGTATCCAATCACAGACATACAGTCATGTCATCATAAAACCATAGAATTCAAAAGGGTGTCCTTTTTTTTTAACATGACTGTATCTGTTGATTTCTTGAACGCAATGGCCAATCAGACATGTCTGAGTTAGAATCCACTCACTGCACAAAATGCCAGAGTTTTTGTACTGCACCCTCGCAAATCCAACACACGTTGAATGACAGGGAACATTCGATTTTGATCGAATACAATGATTGAACGTACATTTTGTGGTCCTACGCCTTCCACAGATTACATATAAATACATTTAGACTGCTTAACATAGTGATGAGTGACAGCTTTTCAGAGATGTTCTTTGAGTGTTGATATATGTCAAATCACACATTACAGTATGCTTGCTTTTCTGTTTAAATTATAGTGGTTTGCGAATGTAAAAGTTTTCTGTCGCTTCATAACATTAATGTTGAACCTCTGTAGTCATATGGACTATTTTAACGATGTCTTTACTACCTTTCTGGGCCTTGAAAGTGGTAATAACATTGCAGTCTATAAGGGGTCAGAAAGCTCTCGGATTTCATCAAAAATATCTTTATTTGTATTCCGAAGATGAACGAAGGTCTTACGGGTTTGGAACGACATGAGAGTGAGTATTTAATGACAGAATTTGAAAATATTTCATGACTTTCTAATTAAATGTGTTTTTGAGGAGGAAGCGCATCTAGTTGGTTTACCCTCCACCTATGATAATAGGGAAGAAAAGACGATCCCAATTTCCATTTCATGTTTACTTTAGCAGGGCTTGATTTATTTGGTTTATAAGATTATTTTTCCAAACAAGTACCTTTTTGTTGACATGTTCCATCACACCCTCTATTGTATGATGTTGTTTAACAAGCTTCAATGCCCGACTCGGCCCAAGACCCCCAATCTTATCACAGTAGTCACAGCCCAGCAAGATACACAGGTCAACAAACTAGGAAAGAGACACAGAAAGATTAATTAAACAAACACTCTTTTGGTGTTAAAAGAGTGCCTTACCAAAAAAGAAAAAGAAGGCAAATCAATGAATAATCTGAAATTCTGAATGTTTTACCTGTTCATATGTCAGCTGTAGAGCTTTCAATAGATTTGGTAAGGAGTACTCTGTCACCTCACTGTGAGAGCAATGATTTAAGAACAAAACCATGATAGCTATTGCTGTATTTTAATGCAAAATTAAAATGTCTTTCTACAGAAGTGTTGAAATGCCTTACTGTACAATGTAACATTGAATGCAAAATCTATAATCAGAGTGGGAAAATAATTTGACTTTAATCTCACCTGTCTCTCTTTGCATTGAGCTGTCGAAGAAGAACAGTCCCTCCGAATGCCAGTGTGTCCATGTCCTCTGAGGCTACAGCATTAACTGTGCCACTTTTGACCAGGTGGGCACACAGTGCCTCTGCTTCACCTGGAGCCTGACATTCAAAGTGATGTCAAAATAAGTCAAACAAGAACACCTCAAATTCATATGATAGAGTAGTTATTTGTATAATGCTAACTAATTTAAATAGGACACAAAATAAAAAAAATAAAAAACCTGGATACACGGCACACCCATGAGCTTTAGGAGACGTAGGCAGTCTTGTTTAAAGTTGGACCCTAAAAAAGTGCAAAACAATGCGCATAAATATCATAGTCGCCAGCAAATTGGGAATAGTGATGAGTAGAAACAACATGAAACTATACAATATAGTTATGTTAGACTTTAAGATATATTAAGAACGTTTTCTATTTCAAATAAATGCTGTTATTTTGAGCTTCCTGTTCATCAGAAAATCCTGAAAAAAATGTATTAGTTTCCACAAAAACATTAAGCAGCTCAACTGTTTTCAACATTGATAATAATAATAAGAAATGTTTCTTATGGAACCAAATCATCATATTATAATGATTTCTGAAGGATCATGTGACACTGAAGACTGGAGTAATGATGCTGAAAATTCAGCATTGAAGTCACAGGAATAAAATTAAAAACATTATTCATAAAAAAGTTATTTAAAATTCTAATCATATTTCACAATATCACTGCTTTTATTGTATTTTGGATCAAATAAACGCAGCCTTGGTGATCATTCTTTTAAAAGAGACTTGAAAAAACCTTCCTGACCCCAAACTTTTAAACCGTCATGTTTATATCGCCACACACCTGTGTTGGAGCTCTGCAAGCTGTTATAGCCAGTGATTTGAGCTCTTTTCTCCAGCTAGAGGAATTCAAATATATATTATTAAACACATAACTGGTTTGAGATTTTATGTATGTAATTATTCAATAATTTTATTAGAACACATCTTCTCACCACGGCTCTCTTTTGACTGGGCGGTCTGCCATCAAGTACAAAGACAGGCTTGATGTCATGCTCCAGGAAAGTAAGAGTGCGGTAAAACAAGCCTGTGAGAGGGCTGCAACATCAGATGTTCATATTTGTAAGATAAGATAAAACACACACACACACATGATAGAAGATCACAAGATTTACAAAAGAGAACAGACAATTCATTTTTATTCAAACCTTAGCTTCAGATGGCTGGGGAGAGCTGTGCGAAACTGATTCACCACAATAGATGTATCTAGTGCGATAATCTTTCCTGGATCACAGAAACATGACAGGTGTTACAGATTTTAGGCAAACATAACAGAACAAAAAGATTTTTGAGTAACTTAGATGACAACTAACGTTAATACCAATCGAACTCTGAACATTCGAGATACATTTTTTGGCCTGTAAATTGCTTTTCTTACTGTTTTATCTCGTTTATACATGACAAAACATTATTGTAACTTATATTAATTTTTTACTACGGTTTCCCCAATAGTCTTTTCTGTTACAATTTAACTGTAATGCATTGATCTTACCCGAATAATCACCGATCTCTTTGTTGCGCATTGACGCTGGAGCGTCAAAATGAATTAAATGCGCTAACTTTGTAATCCCCATTTTAAATTAAAAATGTTTTTACTCTAATCGTGTTGGTGGGTAGGACAGATGTTATTGTCCTTCATCACACATCTTCATTTCCGCATGGTCGCAGAGCTCACGTGGTTGCCATGGTAACATAGTGCTGATTGGCCACCGCTACTTGACGTCACCAACTCTTTTCGCGACCATAGAATCTGTAAATAGAATCCTCATTAGCGGCTGTTTCCATATGGAATAAAAAAGACTGGCAAAAATACACATGTGAGTGCAGGCGGGGCTAATTTGCATATCCAGAACCACTAAATGAGGCAAGGGTGTTTACATTAAGCTATTTTAAAGCCTGAAGATTTTTTTTAAATATGCCATTTTGGTGATCAAAGATAGGTTTTAGGATAAAATGATTGACTACAGGGGGACTTTAATAGACACATATAAATATCTGTATCTGCAATGATTTTGCTAAACTAACACAATACAAGACTGAGGCGTCAGCTAACACGGCATTAAAAAGTTTACCATAGTAAAAACCTGTAATATCCAAAACCTTTTTATCATGTAAAAACCCAAACCAAACCCATTCTCACCTGTGAAATTTTATCCCATTTCTTCGGGAATTAGAGGTTTCACATTATGTGCACAATGTTTTATTAATATTAATAATAATAATTATTATTATTATCTGTTTTATTTTATTTTATTAAATGCTTGAAAAAAAAATCATACCATAAAAATACAACAATACTCCAGGGTCCTTCAGAATTTCAGTCCAGATTAAGTGCCAGCCACTGTTCTAACCTCCTAATATGTTCTTATAGCTTTTACGTTTTTAGAGAACGCAATACATTCAAAATATGTATTCATTTCAAGTTTAAATCTTTAAAAAAAGTTAGTGGCATCAATCATTGATTCTAATGTGAGTGACTACACGTTGACCGTTCCAAGATGGCGGGCGTGCCGACGTGTCTGGAGCGGTCGAATGCGTATCTACGTAACGTTAGCTACATAATGTCCGCGACTGCAAAGTCTGCAAACAAAATGACCCAACTCGTTTGCCGTAGACGGGCTAGCGTGCGAGAATAGTTTTGAACATAGGTTTTGAAAGTGATGCTTGTGTGAAAGAAGAGGATGTCAGAGCGAGTCAAAGTGTTTGACTAAATATTTTATTAGGTCAACTCGGCCTAAACATTTCTTTGTATATAATAAAAGAACATTCAGCAAGTAAAGATGGAGCAAGGACTAGAGATGTCAGCAATGATTCCTGCATTGCAAGAACTAGCCAGGTAACATCAATGGCTGCTAATTGCGATAGATATTCTCTAGTTAAATACTCCTGACAGGTGTCCTCAACATAAATATTTTAAAATAAAGCTCATACAAAGCCTTTTATGTCTTTCCCAGTGCCAGTTCAGTTGAGTACAACCAGGCTGTGCAGAAACCACGTCAGATACTGTGTCAGTTCATTGACAGGATACTGACAGATGTTGATGTCGGTAAGGACAAATGCATTGCATCTTGGATATTTGTGTTGTTGTTACGTCAAAAGTCTTTTTTATGAGAACATCTCAAAATTCTGTCATTGTTTACTCACCTTCATGTTGTTTCAAACCATGCTAAATGAATCTAAGGCAAATATCTGGTGGTTGACTTCACTTGGTTGAAGAATTGTAGTGAAAACTGTTAATGTGAAGCCCTCTAGAATAGATTATGTAATATGTAAGTATATATTACATTAAATAAATATATTAATACAATAGCATAAATTGAAAATAAGGCATTCCTTTTCTTCCCATTACTGATGAAGTTCTGTGTTATTGTAACATAAATGTTCTCCATAGTTTACAATGGATTCTTCTGATATCATTGTTTTGAACTGAACGGCTAAAACACAAAACAATTCATACACTAGATGGTAGATTACATCTAGTGCATCGTTCAAGTCTGTAGTGTATAGCATAGTATAATTTGGGACATTATATATACTCATAGCTTTTAAGTTTTTAGAGAACTTTGATTCAAAATATATTTTCATTTCAAGTTTAAATATAAAAAAAAAACAATATATATATATGTGTATAAATATCATATATATTTTAATATATATCATCATATATAAACTTATCATCATTTACTCACCCTCATGTCGTTACAAACTTGTATGACTTTCTGAAGAACACTAAAGAAGATTTTAAGGATTCAAAGTTTTGGTGACCCTTCACTTCAATTGTATGGACAAACAAACAAAAACACTGAGACATTTCTCAGAATCTTATCTTATGTTCTACTGCATAAAAAAATCATAGAGTTTTGGAATGACATGAGGGTGAGAGTAAATAATGATATAATTTTTTATTTTTGTGTGATTAAACAAGCCCTTTAAAACAAGTTAACAATATTTAAACTTGTTGGAAATGTCTCTTCATCCCTTTCCACTGTCAGTTTTTAGTACAGTAATGTTTGAGGTGTTTACATAGTCTAATGTTTTTAATCTCTCTCACGTTTTAGTTGCTCTGGAGTTATGTAAGAAGACCAGTTTTGAGCCAGCATGTGTGATGCTGCTGGACTTTGTCCAGCACATTATTAAATCCTCCACATTAATGTTCATAAACCCAGCGTGTCTTTCTGATCACTTCAAAAACTCAGAGAACAGCTGCACTGGTAAGTTGATATAGTTTAATATATATATATAAGTTCTACACAATTACATTTAGCTTAAATTGTCTGCCTTCCTTCTCCCTTCATAGATTTCAGTAAATGGATCATCAACCGTCTCTTGCGAATTGCTGCTTGCCCAGAATGCGAAGATCTTCACATGAAGATCTCGTCAGTCATCTGTTCCTTGCTTCACCTTTTCAGAGCCAAGGGTCCAGTACTTTTTGGGCTGTTTTCCACAGAGCTAATTTGTTTAATGCAAGATCTAGTGCATAAGAATTTCATGGTCAGACCGTCTCCACAATGGCCAGTGGTGGTGGAACGCTTCTCCATCAGGTCTGCAGAGTCTGCTGTTTACCTGACCCCTACCATCCTTCAGCTGTCCTCATGTGCCTCAGCTCAGATGCTGTTAGTAACTTCATTAACAGTGCTGACAGATATTTTGCAGGGCATTTTCTTCCCAAGAGAAGTGGGCATCATATGGAACTCTACTTGCCTCATGCTGTCTAATGGGAGCCCGAGGCTCAAGGCAGTGTCTATGGTGCTTTTAACTCGCATTGTGACTCTAGGAGGTTTCCCTGAAGACCATTCGCAGCCATTTTTCTCTGCTTATTTGCATCTCCTGGACTCATTGCCTGCTTTTGAGGAGTCAGAGCTCAAGTCTTTTGGCAAGGATTTCCAGAAGCTCTCCCAGTGTGTTTTCCTGACAGAGGAAGGCACTCACGGCAGGTTTGAGAGAGTCCATCTGAACATGCTGATGGAGAGGCTTGAGAAACTGGTGGTTGGCGGGGCACTTGAGCAGTTGAAGGTAATGGAGGTGAAAGCTACACTTTGCGAAGTCTTCTGCTTTGTCCTCAACTTTGTTCCTCCCGGATACGAGTGTGCAGTGCAGATCCGGAAAGACAGAGTTGCAGCCATTTGCAAAGCTCTTATTAAGACCATTGGAACCCAGGACCAGGAGGAGGTAAATGATCAAAGGAAAAATGTATCCAAAAAAAAAAAAAAAAATTCTATTTTCTGTCAAGCACAAAATAAGAAGTCTAGCAATAGGTCCAGGCTGCTCTTTTCCATACAATCAAAATTAATGGTGACATGATATGTCAAGCTTCAAAAATGACAAAAACAAGATAAAAGCAACACAGTCACAGTGGTTCAGACATCTTTTGCATTATATCCAAAGTGTTCTGAAGCAATGTTGGGAAAAGGAATGGACATTTCTAACATTTGAAGGAATGGTTCACCCAAAAATTCTGTCATCAATTACTCACCTTCATGTTGTTCCAATCACATAAGACTTTGGTAAACACAAGAATTTGTTAAACATGGATGCTCATGCTTGCTTGACACGTGAGAACTAACCTCATTGGCTCTCGTTTGTCAAGCAAGCACTTTTGAGCTTCAGTTTACCATATTTAATGTGCTTTACAAATGTGTGTTTATCAGTGTTATATGAATAAATAACATCGGTTTATCATACCTGGATTTAACAACTTGATTACTTTTAAGGTTTATCTTCTTATGTGTTTCGAAGTCTTATGGGTTTGGAATGACATGAAGGTGAGTAATTGATGACAGAATTTTCATTTTCTGGGTGAACTATCCTTTTAATAGTGTTGATAGTTTAAAATATTGCCATACATTAGCTCAAATCTCATTCTCACGTATATATTATTATGTAGTTTGAAGTCTTAAAGTGGTGAAGTATTGCAGAGAGTAACACATTTTCTGTTAAAAACTAGCAAAGTGTGGAAGGCTACCTGTACGCTGCACTCAAGACAGACGCCATTGCTGCAGTGCAGGATGTGCAGGCCTCTGTTTCTGACCCTGCTGATCCTCGTATGTATGAAGAGGAGGTTCCAGCCAAACGACCAAACCTCTCTCTTCCAACACAACTAAGGAGCGAGGCCAAAACTCAGCCAATGTATGCAATTCTCTGTCCCCACTCAGTCTCTGCTGTCTCTTCAGATAGACTTTGCTTCAGTCTCTCCTCCTACCATGTGTAAAGACGAGCTTAACACATTAAGATGATCTTGTCTGCCATCAGGCAAGTGGACATGAAGAGCAGTAGTGAGGTGTGGGCAGCTGTAGACAGCCGACTGGGCGAGTTACTGACCCAGATGAGGGACCACACAGTGAGCCAGTGCGTGAGCACCGTGCAGGGACTGACCGTCATCTTCCACCTGGCTGCACTTTGCTCAAAGCACTGTCCGAATGGACCACAGAGGTACGGTTTTATTTAAGGCCTTTGTTGTGTTGCATGGTTATTAGTTCTCATTCTTAAATGCCTCTTCAGTGGCAGAGGAGAGAAGACATCAGAGACCTCAGATGGAGTCCAGCTCGTTTGGTTAAAGCCTCGGATTTTGGCTCAGGTAGTCGAGAGCTGCCGCACCGTAATGGCAAACACCTCCAATGATGGAGAGCTGGAGCCTCTGGTGGAGGGCACTGTCAGGATCCTTGATGCTGTCCTCTACCTTAACAG